AGGGGATCGCTCAGTTGAAGGGTATAATAGTGATTTAAAGTTTCCTTTTTTTTTTTTTTTAAGATTTTATTCTTTTTTTTTTTTTTTCCTAAAGATTTTATTTATTTATTTGACAGAGAGAGACACAGCGAGAGAGGGAACACAAGCAGGGGGAGTGGAGAGGGAGAAGCAGGCCTCCCGCTGAGCAGGGAGCCTGATGCGGGGCTCGATCCCAGGACCCTGGGATCGTGACCTGAGCCGAAGGCAGACGCTTAACGACTGAGCCACCCAGTCGCCCCAAGATTTTATTCTTTTAAGTAATCTCTACACTCAGTGTGGGGCTAGAACCTACAACCCCAAGATCATGAGTCGCACCCTCCACTGACTGAGCCAGCCGGGCTCCTCTAAAGTTTCCTTTTAAAATGTATTTAGGGATGCCTGGGTGGCTCAGTCATTAAGCGTCTGCCTTCGGCTCAGGTCGTGATCTCAGGGTCCTGGGATCGAGCCCCGCATCGGGCTCCCTGCTCCGTGGGAAGTCTGCTTCTCCCTCTCCCGCTCCCCCTGCTTCTGTTCCCTCTCTCGCTGTGTCTCTCTCTGTCAAATAAATAAATAAAATCTTAAAAAAAAATGTATTTAAATCAAAAGAAAAAAGTGAGCTCAGATAAAATGATGAGGTAAATAACAAATAGGCAACACAGAGACATGGCAAACGTCCTAGAGGCAGGCAAATGACTGAAGTTGGAGCAAAACTGAGCTGGGTTGTTGCTGCAGTCCCTTCAAATTCCAAAATAGAAACCCAGATGGGTTGGGGGCTCATGTGTATGTTATAGCAGGTTCAGATGGAGCCCCCTGGGAATTCATCATCAGAGCCTGAGTCCTGGCCTCAGTGACCGTCCGTGGAAATCCATGCACGCAAGCCCACTGATCTGCTTTCCTTGGTGGCAGCAGCATGGTGCGTGTACCCTGGGCGGGGAGCAAGGCTGCACCGAGACAGGCATGTATCTGCAGGGAGGTGTGGGAGTGAGGGCCCAGAAGGCTCTGCAGAACTGTGCCGGACGTTCTGGTCTGGCATAAAGAGGACATTCACTTTGACCTTGAATCTCACCAGGAAAAAGTCAAATCTCTTTGGCACCCTCTTTTAAAGATGATTGTGGAATCTGTTTTAGAATGATGAGAATCTGGACAGACTCTCTCCCCAAAAAACTTACTAAACCCCCCCCCATGCCCACATGGCATTTTGCATAAAGTTTCAGGGAGTTGACAGACGCTAGGTAAGAATCACTACTTTTAAGAGTTGTTTGGATAAAATTGTTAAAAAGAAGGGGCCAGGGGCAACCTGCATTGGCACTGGAAGGACTGTTGTATGTTCATCTAGAGAATTAATCCCCGTAACTGTGCTGGCCGGATGAGGATAGGGAGGGTGGGAACCAGGGTGACAGAACCGAGGTTGAGGAACCTCATTGTGCATGGAGGGACCCTCATGGGCCTGGTCCTGCACAAGGAGAGGACCCGGGAGTGGGGCGAGCAGCAGTCCTGGCTTTTGCTGCTACTTTTCTCGTCATAGTAATTGTCACTATGCTTCTGGGTTTCTGTTTTCTCATATATAGTATCTAGGACTGAACCAGTGGTTTTTAGCAGTTCTGTGTGAAGCTCCAGAATTCTAGAAAGGAGCTTTAGGGGCCTCTGTGGAGTGCAGGAGGAAACCCGCAGCCAGGGACGTTTGGGAATCCACCCACCCTTTACCCAGAGCAACTCTGCTCCTGTCTATGGTGGTATGTCGTGGGAAATTGTCATTCAGAATTAATATGCCACTTCTTAACTAAATTTGGTGAGCACTAGACTGGATTATCTTTAACGGCTGTGTGCACCAGAATTCTGAGTATCCAGGGAGATTAAAAAATTAAAAAGGAATAACCATGTCACAGTAGGCGTATTCTCTAGGCTGAAGTGCTAGGGCTTGGCCCTGTAACCTTGGGGAGTCCTTGAAGCTGAGTTCCTGCCTCGTCAGCCAGGCTGGGAGGAAGGGGAGCTCCCAGCAGGGCAGGAGGTGTGTCAGAGGTCCCAGGGTGGAAGCCAGAGGCTGGCATCACAGTCCTGCTGGGTAGTCTTCAGATGTTTTCAGTGGCATGCTCTGTCGGTAAACACTAACAATCAAATAAATGTCATTTAAGCATGCAGCTCGCCAATATAGATACATTTATTGTAAATTACACATATTTGTATTGCTGTACCAAGGTTAGATACATCACAAAACAAAACAGATTGTTTAAAGATGAGGATAATTAAAAATAAGAGAAGTACTGCCCCGTGAATCATCTCCTGTCCCCAGTGAGGACAGACTGCCCCCACCGCAGAGAGGTCAGGCTTGTCAGGAGGCAGCTGGAGGAGGTTGGTGGGGGTGAAGGTGTAGGCGCAGGAAGGAACAGTGGTTCTCAGCAGTCTGCACTCCCACCTGCTCTCTGCCGCGGCCATGCTGCTCGGACTGCTGTTTACTCAGTAGCTCCCTGTGAATTGACTCACTCGGTTTTTTCCCCTTAAATCTCGTCTTCTCCTAAGCAGTGATATCCACAGAAGAACAGGTTTTCTGTGCAGTTAGAATCTTCTAACGCACATTAAGATAAACACAGAACTCTGCAAACAACATTTGTCCACATTGCACTTGAAAATCATGGGTCAGCCCCCACCTGTGTGATGGCCCCGTGGGAGGCTCCAGTCCACCCTGGGAGGAAGGGGCTGGTGCTCCGGGCCCGTGAGGATGGCTGGGTGGTGCACTCCTCCACGCTAGAGGACAGTCACAGGCGCAGCTGTGCCTAGTGGAGTTCCAGAGGGTGGTGGGCACACGCTGCCGCCCGTGAGAATGCTGGGCACGCTCAGGGCAGACTGGGTGGGGCCCTGGGCCACCCGCTCCATGTCATAGGGGCCGTGCATCACTGTCGGCTCTGCGTGCCGCCAAAGCCTCCCATTCTGGGCTCGCCCAGCCATCCGTCTCCCATCCCATTAGTAAGCACTCGCCGCATACCGGGCGCTGGGCTCAACACTAGAGTTCCAGTGGAGAGCAAGACAGGGAAGGGGGCTCCTCTTATGAAACCCCCATTCTAGTGGGGGAAGGCAGGCAGCAACCGTAAATAAAAAATAGGAAACCTAGGCAGTTGTGAATGCTATAAAGTAAAACCGAGATAAGAGGGGGAAGGGACAGATTTATCCAGGAGAATTCCGAATAATGTATGTAGCTACTCCCTCCAGGAGATAGAGCATAACTCCCTGCTCCTTAAAATGTGGGCTGCGCTTAATGACTTACTCCCACAGAGCTTGCAATGAGGGGAAGAGGGAAAGTAACTTTCTGGTGGAGAAGTCTGACCAGCGTTCGCTTGGCCAAGTGGCGCAGACTTGACGTCGGTGGTGGTTGGGCCGTGTTGGTGGCCTGCACCCTCGCTACGGCCGGCGGCCAAGGGCACTTCCTCCGTGTGGGCTTCCTTCCAGAAACCTCTACCCCAGTCTAATGATCTGAAAACATCAGACAGACTCAGATTGAGGGACATTCTGCAAAATACCTGACCAGTTCTCGCTCCTTAAACCGTCAGGTCACCAGAAGCAGGGAAGTCAAAAGCCGGCACAGTCAAGGGGAGCCTAACAGGACGTGACGACTAGATGTAACGTGGTCCCTGAGATGGGATCCTGGAACAGAAAATGAACTGTAGGGAAAAACTAAGGAACTATGAATGAAATACGGATTTTTGATAATAATTTAAGGAGGTAAAAACCGGTGCAGAGGGAGCTGAGAAGATATCTCTGAGGCGGTAGCATCTGAGCTGGGCCTTGAAGGACGTCATTGAGTCAGGCCAGGGTAGGGGAGATCCGGGGTGAAAACATTCCAGGCAGAGGAAGTAGCCGTGTAAAGATCCTGGGGCAGAAATAAGCTTGGGCCCATTAAAGAGCACAGAAGAAGCTCAGCACGGGTGGAGAGGGGTGTTGGGGAGAAGGCCAGGGAGTGAGGTCAGAGGTGGAGAGGAGCCGGGCTACACAACAGACTGCCTCAACACTGTGGACGGCATGTGGATTTCATCCCCATGTGATGGGAAGGCAGAGGAGAATTCTGAACAGAAGGGCGACGAGAGCTAATTTCCACTTAAAGTCACTTGGGTCTGTGTGGAGAACAAACCAGGGGGTAAAGAAGGGCAGAGCCAGCTGGGAGGCCTCTGCGCAAGTCCAGGGGAAGATCATGGATGGCGGGGGGCCGTCGGAGTCCCTGAGTCCTCCTGTCCCTCCAGATACAAGTGCAGCCTCACACATCAGCATCCTTTCCCCCACATCTGTCTCCTGAAGATGGGGGAGATGACCTGAACTCTGGGTTCCAAGAACTAACTATTTGAAGGTCCACACCTACACGTCAAAGAACTCTGTGATGGAGACCCCTTAGGCCAGTAGCCAACCATCTCTCTTTCGTCTCTGTTGGTTTATGCCTTCTTTGAAAACTAAAAACATGCCCCATGCTTACACAGCCCTTACTTAATTGGGAAAAATACAGCGAGGTTCCTAACCTCCCTCTGCCTTCTGGAAGTCATCAGTGGAAAAGGAAAACAAAAGGCTTCAGGCATGTCAAAGCCTTTCCTAGAGTGTAAACAGTTTCAGAATCTTCTCAGTGAATTTGGTTATGTCTTATTAACCACATATCATTTTTCTTCCCTCTGCTGCCTCAACTCCTTTGGGAAGGAAGTGTGGTATCAATAAAGTAAAATAAGTGCCTTTAAAAAAACATCTTGAAATAAATTACTGCAATTTGCACTTTTTTATTAAAATCAAGGCCACATTTCTTGGCATTGCCAAGATGACAGGAAAGAGAGGTTGTGGCCTCTGGCTTATTTCTTTCCAGCTTGTTGCTGATGCTCCTGTCACTGCTGGCGAGCGCTTGCTGGACGCGTGAGGAGCGGTCTACTTGGGCTCTGTCTCTATGATGACGGTGTCTGTAAATCCAGGGCTATGAAGCCGTCCGAGCTCATCCCCGTCTCTGTATTTGCTTCTAGAGATAGAGATGGTGATCATGGAGCGCGGCAAGCTCGCGGAGCTGGCGGCCAACACATCTGTGCAGGAACAGAACACCACGGACGAGGAGAAGAGCGCCGCCGCCACGGGCTTGGAGAGTGCACTGTGGAGCAGGTGCCACCAGTGGGCCCAGTCCTCCTGGTGCTGGTTGGGGGGAGGGGAGCCCACAGGCCAGCCCACCAGTCACGGTGGGGGTGCTGTTCCGTTGCTGGGATGAGGAGATGGGCTGAGTGGTGGTGGGGAGGGGTGTGCCGTGGCTGGGGTGCCCAGCACAGGTAACCTGGGGCCTCTTCCCAACACCCAGATGGCCTCTTCAGCTTCTCAGCAAAGTTGTCTTGCTTCCTGCCTTTCCTTGCTTCTCCAGCCCCTGTCGAGAGGCCACAAGGACAGAGCTGACACTCAACTCCGGAGTGCTCACCCCTTGGAAAGAGGAAGACTGAGACATGGCACCACCTCCCCCAAGCCCTTTGGTGGTGGGCCCTGCCCTAAAGGGTGTGGGTCGCCTCACAGCCTTGTACTGGCTGCCCCTGGCAGAGCTCTGTTGCTCCCAGGAAGGCCCCTCTTGGGGGCCGCATTTGGATCTCCCTGTCTCATTCATTCACTGCCATGCTACCCCGCCGTGCATAGGGCCTGCCCTCCTGACTCAGCCAGCGTGATTTCACACTGATGGCCTGCAGCTTTTCGCCTAAGTGTTCAGTTCACTGGAGGCCTGCTGAAGCTACGTCCTCTTAAACCTTCGAGATGCCGCATTTCCTGGAAGCTTGCTGCAGCACCGGCCCTTCCAGAATGCTACTGGGTGGAAGGCTGCTTCCAAAGCGTGCAGTGAACTGTCAGGAGGACTTTTTCATTTCAGAGTTATTTTCCTTCCCGGGGGCCCCGCTGCAGAGACCCCTGCCATAACCTAATCCCATGCACAGCAGCAGGGTTCACTGTCGGCCTACAGAGCATTCACTTCCTGAACCCCCAGGGTGGAGTGGCTGAAATACACACATGCCCCATCCTACTTACTAGTCCAGCTTGAACAGTTGAAGCATGCCCGTTTTTTCCTCCACCTCTCTCTGCTTGGCGAATGTTCCAGTTATCTGACAGTCAGGACTCATTTCTATCAGATGCACAAGGGAGCCATTTTTAGTTGGGTTTAAATTAAAAAACACTGGAGTGTGGTATCGGCTATCAGTTGTCGGAACCTACAGAGACCGTTTTGATTTTGCTTGGCAGCAAAAAACATAACTCCTGAAGCTCTGAAAATTCAGGAAATCATTCTAAACTCAGAAAGGGAGGAGAAAACAACCTTTCATTGCTTGGCACAGCATTAGTGAGGATATGAATAATTGGAAAAACCACAAATGACTAGTGGTGGGGAGTGTATCAGCAAACGGGTGCATCTGCTTAATAGAATGGGAACTGCTGCTTTTAAGTGAATACTGTCAGGATGTGTTGGGTTTCTTAGGATCTAATAAATGGAAACAGAGCAGATATTTTACATAGTATGGTAATACTATAGCTTTGTTAAAGGAAGAAAAAATATATATTTTTTAGAATGTGAAAAGACGAAACGTTATGTTTGAATGTTGGGTTGAGACTTCTTTTTTTTCCTGACCTTTTAGTGAAGAGAGGGTTTTTCTTAGAGTCGATTGAAATTGTTTCTTAACTTTCGATGACTTTAACTGGCATCTTCTACCACGTGGCTTATAATGGAAGCTGATCCTTGTGCCTTGAGTTGGGCTCACATACAAGCTTGTGGCTCCGGGACCCTTGGGCCAGGGCTGTCCTTGGCTCTGAGACCAAATGCTAAGGAGAGACTAGCCCAGGTGGAAAGTTGCCTTCTCCTTTGTGAAGGTATTGAATTGTTGGTTGTCTGGAGCACTGCCAAGGACTTCTCTCCTCCCCGTTCCAGGCCCGGAGCAGGGAGGAGGGCACTCTGGAGGAAGGAGGGGGTAGTGTGTTCTCCTTGACATGAATCGGATCTTGACATTGGTCCACTTGTCTGAAGAAACAGCATAGTACAAAGTGGAACTGTTCTCCTATTCCTTGTGTATCGTGGGCTCTGTCTGCATTCAGGGTTAAATATAGGCCTACGAAACTGAAAAATGTCTAAAGCATTCTTTCCTTAAAAAAAAAGTATAAAAGTAACACACATGCAGAAAATGTAAAAACATTTTGAAGAAAAGCGTAAAGAAGGGAGAAAGGTCTCCACGATGCCAGCATCAAAGTCAGCTGTCACTAACATTCTGGTTATTTCCTGCTAGTCCTTTCTCAGTGGGAATTGTATCCTGCTTGCCCCCAATACTTATACCATACTGTGCCCATCATTTGTCTTTTTTTTTTCTGTCTGATACCAAACCCCAGGCATCTTTTTCGCTTTACTGTACACTCTAAACAAAATGCTAATGGTTTCACACTATTTCATCTCCTAGAAGATGCTATGTCCACTCAGCCCTCCCTCTGCTCCTGGGCATTTGGTTATTTGCATTGCTCTAGAATGAAAACACAATCAACATTCCAGGCCGCTGGTTTGCAAGAAAACATTTTCTTCTTCATCCCACTCTTAAGTTGAAAGTGTTACTGGGGTGCCTGGGTGGCTCAGCTGGTAAGCGTCTGCCTTCGGCTCAGGTCATGATCCCAAGGTCCTGGGATCAAGCCCCACATCGGGCTCTCTGCTTGCCGGGAAGCCTGCTTCTCCCTCTCCCACTCCCCCTGCTCGTGTTCCCTCTCTAGCTGTGTCTCTCTGTCAAATAAATAAATAATTTAAAAAAGAAAGAAAGTGTTACTGCCAGGCACTTACAGAAACCCAGATCCACACCTGGCAAAACGATTCATGCATCTGAAAGGTGCCCCATCTGGGGCCCTGGAGAAACAGCCCGGATGTAAATGTCCCCTTTAAGGACGGACTCTTCTTTTAATTTCCCAGCGTCATGTGTGTATTTGAAATGTTACGACAAGAACGTTTGCACCACTTTCTCTTTTGCATTTTTCAGTTTAATATTTTGAATCACTGGTACATTCACGAATTTCAGGTTTTTTTAAAGTATAAAAGGTGATGCAGTGAACAGTTTCCCCGTTTCTCTGCCACACCTCTTCACTCCCCCTAGACGGTGCTGTTGACAGTGGCTGTGCGTCCTTCTAGGGGTCACGTGCGCCCTCAGTCACTCCTCGAGGTGCTCCGCTTTCTTGGCCTCAGCCTGGCCTCCACAGAGGCAGCTGCGGGTGGTCACAGGCTCAGAGCCTCCTGCTGACGGGCCAGACCCGTGCCTATTCTATTATCCTTGTGATGAAGAGTCTTTCCAGGCCAGGCCCTTTACCTGGAAGGGCAGCGTTTGGGGTGTGTGGTTTGTGATATTTGCAGCCACTCTCTAGACCTCTCCCCCAAAGCATCAGAGGTGAACCCTCCCATCGATTCTTACCCGTCACGAAAATCAGTCCAAAAAATTGCAGGACCTGCCAGAGTGGGCTCCGGGAGAAGTGCCCTTGGAATGCTCGAAATAGAAATCTGGCCACAGCTCCCACACGCGAGCACCCTTCGCAATGTGCAGCTGGCCTGGTGCTAAATGCCTATCCTTCATCGTTTCATGTTGAACCCCCCCTGGGAGCCCTTCCCAATGGGGAAATGGAGAGGTTTTAGGTAGCTAACCCAAGGGTTCGCGGCTCAGAAGAGGCAGAATCCGAGCTGGAACCCAGGCAGTCCGGCCCCAGGGCCCACGTTCTGAAATTGTTTGGACTTGTCGGTGCCTTGTCTGCTATCGTCGGCCTCCTACACTGCCCCGTTCTCTTCATCCTCTTGTCACTCTTTGACGTGATGATGTGGTCCATCTGTTCTCTGGCATGGGAGTGCCCCAAGAGCAGGGACTTGGCATCATTTACCCCCAGTGTCTGGAACAGCCGGGCCACGGTTGTTGAGTGATGAAGTGGTCCGTTCCTCAGTTTCCCCTGGAGCTAGCTTCCCACGGGCAGAGCCCGTCCTCCATGCCCGGTGCTGGACGGGGCCCTCATTGGACTCGCCACACGCTGGGCGGAGCTGTACAAGGCAAAGGCGGCCAGCACTTCATGTGTAGGCGGGCGAGGAGAGCTGTCCACTGTGTGTGCCAAGAGGCTCATGTGCGCCCCTCCTCTTTTCCAGACCCTTCCTCGATATGGTGTACCATGCCCTGGACAGCCCAGATGACGACTACCATGCACTGTTTGTGCTCTGCCTCCTCTATGCCATGTCTCATAACAAAGGTAAGCCTCCCCGCCTCGCCTGCCTTCATGACATCCCTCTCTGCCTCGTGGCACCAAAAAAGAAAGCTGCTTTCCTTGAGGAATGTCCTTCCTGGTCTTGGCAAACTCCTACAAACTTCTCTTCTCACCTGAGAATTTCTCAGGTGCTTTTGTACATACCAAAGCCACAGGAATTGGTTACTAGGGCAGTATGGGTGGGGTGGAATGCGAGGGAACGTGCAAGTGACTGTCTAACCCAGTATGACTGTCTTCACACTGTGGTTTTCTTTCAACCCCTGGCTTTTACGACCGGCTTAGTATCCAACCTCTCTTCCTAACATCAGAACTGAAATCAGTCAAATTGTAATCTTGGTTTTGCTATTTATAATAGCTGATGTTCTTGCTCTGGGTTGAGGGCTAAAATAGACTCTGGGCAGATTGGGTGGAAGCATAGGTGTCATTTCTGAAGAAAGGTGTGGTTCTCTGGCTTCCCCGGTGGAGGCGGAGTGGTCAGGATCGGAGTCCTGTGGAGCTGACAGACCTGGTTAGGATTCATTCACTTACTTCCTCGCTGGGCACCGCTGCTAGTATATGCCCCCCACCTGGCTTGGCACTGGAGGTTCTGAAACCCCCACATCAGAAGCTCTTCACAGAAGAAATTGAGAACATTCTTCATGGCCACTGCCTCGAGCTGGCCTTGGCACAGATGAGACTTTGCAGCAGGTGATGTTTTCGTAGGTTCTTCATAAGCTAAATGAGAGGTAGGTAGAGGTGGGTTTTACTAGACAGCCTATGTTTAGAGACATTTAAAAAGCACTCAACATAATAAATATTTATTCTTAAATCATTAATCCTGATGAATAAGTGGACCAGTGACAAAAGAATATATGGGGAAAAAAGCCTCACCTCCCATCCCTGTCCTCCACTCTCTTCTTTGAGGTGGTTCATTTTAGCAGTTTCTTGTGTCTTTTTAAAGATAACCATGCAGGGGCACCTGGGTGGCTCAGTCGGCTAAGTGTCCAACTCTTGGTTTCAGCTCAGGTCATGATCTCAGGGTCGTGAGATCGAGCCCCACCTCAGGCTCTGGGCTCAGGTCTGCTTGGGATTCTCCCTCTCTCCTTCTACCCCCCAGCCCCCTGCCCTGCTCTTGGACCCTCTCTCTCTAAAATAAATAAATCAATCTTTAAAAAAAAAATTAAAGATATCCATGCAAACCCAGGTATGAGTATATATGGTTTTATTTCTACGACTGTCCCCCACTTAAACATGAATAGAGGTATCCCAGTTGTCTGTTCCTATCCTGTTTTTCTCACATCATCATGTATCCGCACATTGTTTCACATCCCTAGAGAACTGCCTTGTTCTTTTTGGTTTTTTAAGATTTTATTTATTTTGAGAGAGAGAGAGAGCAAGCGGGGAAGGGAGGGTAGAGGGGGAGAGAGAATCTCAAGCAGATGCCATACTGAGCACAGAGCCCAGTGCGGGGCTTGATCTCACGACCCTGAGATCATAACCTGAGCCGAAATCAAGAGTCAGATGCTTAACCAACTGAGCCGCCCAGGCCCCCCTGCCTTGTTCTTTTTAATCCTTTGTGCATCATTTATTCTGCCATCATCCCCTTATTGAATGGCACTGAAACTCTTCCAGGCTTTTCCCACTGTGGCTAGGATCCCCTGTGATGGCTCTTCTCATGTTAAGTCATGGTGCTCACATGCAAGTCCGTAGACCTGGCTTAAGACCTCTAAAAGGAGCCCAGCGGGCTCTGAATCCTGCTGACGTTTTCCGCCAGTCTTGTTCATCCCCAGGGCTTCTGTGATCCCCTCCAACACCTGGCTTAGTGCGTGGCACATAGGAGCCCTTGGTTTCTGGGTGGCAATAGAACTCCACAAGACTGACCGACTCCCATCCAAGGATTGCCCGCCACTCCCCTGGCCCCTGACTTCTGTGCTGTCTGCATCTGAGTTCCTGCTGGATGCGTCCTGCATCCTGGAGACTCCTACCCAGGTGTTTCAATATCACCTTGAAACACTGCTCATCCGCCTTCAGTATACCCTGACCTCAGCACACTTCCTGCCATTTCTGGTTCACTTGAAATTGCCAACCAAGGTTGAAACTGCCGTGACCTTTAGTTCCTTCCCTCCTTTGATCCCAGCATTTAGTCATCAGGTTTTGTCAGTTTTCCCTCTTCAGCCTGTCTGATCAGCAGAACTTAGAACTGAGTGCGACTTGGTGCCTAGTCCTAAGCTAGATGCTGGAGATGAGAACTGGGGGCATGAGAGCAGGGAGATCTGGGCATGGCATTCCAGTGGCCATTATCACAGCCTCCTAGGGGTCAAACATCTGGCCATCTCATGGTCCATCCTCCATAGCACTGCCAGGTGATCCTCCATAAGACTGTTGACCATGTCCCTCCCCTGTTCAGAAAGCCTTCGTGCCTTCTTGTTTCCCTTAAACCTCACCCTTCTCTGCCTGTCATTTTGAGTATCCAGATGGCACCCACCTTGCCAACTTGATCTGGTTCCTCTGACTTCCCTTCACAGACCCTTTGCTCTGGGTTTAAACTTCTATCTAGTGATAGAACTCTTTCATAGAGATAAACTTGGGGATGCTGTTGTGCTACTCATTGAACTCTTTACAAGTTCTTCTGGTTACAAGCAACAGAAACTACTTCTCATTAACTTAAGTAGAAGGGAAAGTCTATAGGAAGGCCCCTGGGGTAGCTCCCAGGATCTGAAAAGTTGCTGAAAAGCTGAAGGAAGGGCAAGAACAAACCAGCTCTGGGGACTTCCCTCAGGGTAGATCATGATTTGGCCCCAGCAGATCCCTGGCTGAGAGTCTGTCTCTGTTCAGGTTTCAAATTCTTGGGCATGAGATCTGACTGTTCTAGCTTGGTGGTGGTGTGTCTCTCTCTGGAACACGCAGTTATGGCTAGGGGTCAGGATCACATAGCACACACTTAGCCCTAGGGAGCTCAGCCGGGTATCTGGGACTATTCCCAAAGCAATGAGCTTCCTTGGAAGTCTGGCAGCCACTGCAGTCAGTGCCAACATGGCCTCCCTGTTCCTGGCTAGTATTCCTTGTATTCATTTGTGTTTCTTCCTGCCATTTTCTCTACTTCTGTGTCACCACCTGTCAAAATTTTGCTTGCCTATCGGAAGTCACCTGCTCCAGGAAGTGTTTTCTGATCCCTTCAGGTGATATTCACTTTGGGTTGGTACCGTCTAATGTGGCAGGCACATTTTATACATTACTGAATTTGATTTGCTTAAAATTTTGTTAAGGATTTTTGCATTTATGTCCAAGAGTGATACTGGTTTAGGGTCTTATAATTCTCTTCTTTTATTTGCTTTCAGAGTTATGCTTGCCTTATGGAATAAATTCAGATGTATTTCCTACTCCTGGATTGTATGGAGGAGTTTTTATAGAACTGGTATTATTTCTTCCTTAACTATTTGGTAGAATTCACCAGTGAATCCATCTGGGGCTAGAGTTTACTTTGAGGGAGGGTTTTTAACTACTCAGATTCTTCAGTAGATATAGGACTAATGAAGCTTTATCTACTTCTTTCTGTGTGAGCTTTGATAGCTTGTGTCTTTCAAGGAATGTGTCATTACATCTAAATTGTCAAATTTATTGGCAAAAATTTATTCATTATATTATTTTATTATCATTTTAATGTGTGTAGGATCTATAGTGATGTCCCCTTTCTAATTCTTGGTATCAGTTGTTTAGGTCTTCATTTGCTTTTTCCTGATCAGTTTGGCTAGAAATTTAACAATTTAATATTTTACTGATACTCAAAGAATTGTCTTTTGGTTTCAGTGATTTTCCTGGGTTTTGTTGTTGTTGTTTTTTTTTTTATTTCTTACCTTCAGCTGCTTATTTCAGATTTAATTTAGTCTTCTTTTTGTAGTTTCTTAAGATGGAAGCTGAGATCATTGATTTTTTTTCTTAAAGATAATCAGTTTATTTTTTTTAATTAATGTATAGTGAAATTAACCTTTTTTGTGTGTAGTTGTATGAATTTTAGCACAGGTATGGGTTTGGTCAGCACCACCATAATCAGGATACATTATAGTTCCATCAACCAAAAATTCCCTTGTGCTAGGGGTACCTGGGTGGTGCAGTTGGTTAAGTGTCCAACTCTTGGTTTCAGCTCAGGGTCGTGAGATTGAGCCCCGTGTTGGGCTCTGTGCTGAGAGTGGAGGCTGTTTGGGTTTCTCTCTCCTCGTCCTCCTCCCCTGCCGCGCTCACTCGCTTGTGCTCTCTCTCTCAAATAAGTAAACAAAATCTTAAAAAAAAATTCCCTCGTGCTATTATTCCTTTTCAGTCTGTCATACCCTTCCCATAGCACTCATTGATTTTTAAACTTTTCTTCTTTTGTGATAAGAGTTTAATGCTGTAAATCTAAGCATTGCTTTTGGGTGCATGCAATACATTTTGATATATGTGGTTTTATTTTTATTCAGTTTAAAATATTTTATAATCTCCCTTTGATTTATTCTTGTCCTTTGTATCATCTGTGTCATTTCTGGTTATGTTTCTATTATTGATTTTTCTCCTGGTTTGGGTTTTGGGCTCTGTCCTGGGTCATGGTTAAGTTACTTGGAATCAGTTTGATCCTTTCGAGGCTTTCAAGCTTTGTTGCTGCTGGTCCAGAACAGCCTTTAGTCTCAGGCTCACTTGGCCCCACTACTGAGGCGGTCCCTTTCTGAGGATTATACCTGATGGGCCATGGTTTGGGTGGTCCTTCCATGCTGGCTGCTGGGAACAGGAACTCTTCTCAGCCTGTGTGAGGCTGGGATTGTTCCACCTGCTTCATTCCCAAAGCTTGTTCCCTTCCCTCCCATGCATGCACAGAGCAGGACATAGCTGACGCCTCAAAGGACCCCTCTATACCTCTCTGTACAGCCCCCTCCTCTCCAGTCCTCCGTCCTCTCAGTTCCAGTCACTCCACCCATCTGAGCTCCAAACTCTGCCTTCTCAACTCAGAGAGACCGTGGCCTTTGTTGGGGGTTTCT